TCTTAAATAAATATTGAAAACCTATTTTTCTTTTTTACTTTATTGTTTCGATGTGTAGTTGCCATGTCATATCAACTGTCAAATTTGTTCATCTATCAGCTAAACATGAATTATTATTAGAATTTTTTTGAAATATTAATTTAACCACTTGATCACAAATTTTAAATTGATATTTAGGTAAAGTGTTCGTAAAAGGTCACTACAGCAATCCAAATTGTCGAGTCGATTATGGCAAGACAATGTTAGATAATAAAAATCCAATAGGTGGTATTACATTAAGTCATGGACAGTGTGATATGAATCGACAACGAATGGTATGATAATATTTTTGAATTAAAAATGGACTTAATCTAAATTTCTATTCTTCAACCTTTTCATTTCAAAAGGTAATTGAATCTGTTTTTAATTAAATTTAGATTTCATACTTCTCCCACATCAATTATAGATCCAACCGGAAGGCATGCAATTTTCTACAGTACTTATTATCAGTTTTCATCCGGTAGGTTTATGCCTTTTTCAATTGAATGTGTACTTCAATTAGGAATTAAATAGTTCATAATATAATATTTTCTCGGGTAACAAATGCTGAGTGTTAACAGCTGGTTTAGTACTTCCTGCACTTATTTGTAAGCTAAGATTTAATAGACGATTTTTCAACCGGAACGACAAAAGATAAAAAAGTGAAGAAAGAGAAAAGTAAAAGTAAAAAGAATCGGAAAAACAAAATATGAGATAAAATGGATATATATCATTATTCTAAATATTCTTATGAATATTCCATGTTGAAGTTTAAAATATTAATATGTAGCTCTTAAACTCTAGATCTAAATTTTAGAATTGATAAACAAACTTTTCTCTTTCTCTAATCCGTAAATTCTATTTAACCATCTATCCATAATGTTGTGAATTTCAGTTATTTATAACAAAACTTGACCGAGCATTTCACATCAGATGTATGTATCGAGAGATTGTACAAGCGGTTTCTTCCGGAATCGAAGTGAGGTTGGTTTTCTGTGATTCAGCATGAGATTGCAATCGTATCCACTTCCAACTTATCAAAATTCCATCACTTCCGGATATCATCGAACTCTTAGCTGGGAAATTACGAAGTTTGACATGTTTATTTATTTATTTCAACAAAATTTTAAACTAAGAAATTAAAACTTTTAAAATTCTAAGCGTTAAAATAATTAAAATTTCATTGAAAAGAATTTCATAATACTTTTTTTTGTGCAGTGCGATAGCAACACAAGCGGTGGAATATGAATATCCATTTCCAAATTGCATTTATACGATTCGAAGAGATGAAATTGATGGACCAATATTAAAGTATGCAAGAGTTGGTGAACAAATCGTTCATCGATGGGAATGTCTATCTGGTATTAATTTCTTCTTCGCTTTTTTTCGTTCAAATATCAAAAATGGAATTAAATTTTAATTCGTTCAAATTATATATTTTAGATGTTTATGGTTTGTTGGTGCATAATTGTTATGTGGAAGATGGACAGGGAGAAAAGCAAATTATCATTGATGAGAATGGGTATTACATCTTCTAATATTAACTAATTAAATTTAAAATATATAGCTAATAGTTTTTTTTTAGCATTTTTTGCTATTAAAGTTTAATTGCTAAATGGATTGAGCATCGAATTTTGTAGTAATATTTTAGGTGTCATACAGATCGAGCAGTTTTGGGTGATCCAACATATGTTGAATCTCTCAACATGGCATATCGCGAATCATTGGTATTCAAATTTGCTGATCGGGTAATCGTTCGATTTCAGTGCCAAATTCGTCTATGCATCAAAGATGCTGGTGGTTGTATTGGTATTACTGTAAGTTTTATTTATTTATTTATTTATTTATATGTCGGACATATTAGATAAAAAGATTTAATGTTATGTTTTTCCAATTTTTTTTGTCTTCAAAGCAATCTTTTAACCGCATGCTTATTTCAAATGATATTTAAAAGGAAGCATCATTTTACGAGTGACGTCATATCAGGTGAAATTTGCGTCATCACTATCTCCAAACATTTCACTTCTCATTTTGCGGTTAAAAAAAATTACAGCCACCGATGTGCTCCGATGAGAACGAGCAAACGAACGGATTATTTGTAACAACGGTTGAATCGATAGTTCATCATACAATAAAAACAAAGAATGTCACTGACGTGAGTTGACAGGTTTTGCTTACTGTTTGAAATTAACTATCCACCTGCGATTATAAAAATTTGATAATAATAGTTCATAAGTAGGTAACTCATAGTTGAAATTTTTTTCTCCATATTTGTGCTCTAAATCTTTTGAAATTTCTTGACTATAAATTAAAAATGTCATTGAAAAATGCTATTTACGAAAAAAAAATAATAATTGAAGGGTGAATGGGAAAAAAGGAATTAAGCACACTTAAGTTCAAAGATTTTGAAGGATATTTCTTTTTATTTTTTCCTTTTAGTACCATACTTGAAATGCTACAGATGGCAGGGTTACAGATCCAGTCAAAAAAACGTCGACTAATGCGATCGCCGGTATCCGAAAGATCAAAGCATATGGTTGATGCCGATCTAATATCACAGCCTGTTTATGTGTTAGACGCTGATGATGAAGATGGAGGTGATAAGCTTTGTAATTTTCGCAAAAATTAATCTTCCAGACTGACCTTTCAGGTGTAAATTTTATTTAAAAAATACCTCCTACATTTATGAGGTACAATTTTTTATAAAAAAATAGATGAGATTTATTGAAATGAATACACTCATATCTCAGATAATTATGATTTCCGCATACTTATAACTCTTAATCATTTCACTGACATTTTTGCATATTCATTAACATTCAAGTTAATCAGTTATAAATTAAAAAGTTTTCAGATGAAAACAGTTATCAGTTAAGGCAAGGTACCCCAGAAGTATGTGTAAGTAATACATTATTCTCAATACTCATATGTATTATGGCTATTGCATTTCTGGCGCTAACTGCAAGTGCTATATGGCTCATGCATAGGTGGCTCAGGTAAATATCATAAAACTATTTTAGGTTTACATGAACTAGCATTGGCATGTGAGGCACCTTTTAACTGAACATATATATGTTAAAAAGTGATACAGTAGCGCAAATCACTAATTAAGGTCAACACAATTAATAAAGTAAAACCTAAATAGGTGAGACCTGATGATAGCAGCGACTTGTAAGATTTCCGGAACAATTCTGTTCTTGTAACTTAAACGATCATCTTATTCCTACAAATTATTCACTCACTCCCGTCATTTTAGGTCATCCGGAAATACAGTAAGTGAATATTACAAGAAGCAGTACACAAACCATGTATGCGCATTAAATTTCTAAGTCAATTTCACTTTTCATTAAATCATTATTATTATTATTATTATTATTAATGAACGAAAAATGGAGATGGAATGAGAAATAACAAAGTAAAAAAGCTCATTTACGACAATTCCATCCCGAACGATATGTCAATTCTATATGTTGCAGGAATTTTTTTTTAGAATCTCCAGAAAGTCTATCATTGCTAAAATTAGGCTTATCGATTATTCGTTTATTTTTTCTCAAATACTTGATAACTATCTGTTAACAGATTCTACCTTAAATATGCTGTAATTGAAGTGATCGCTTACGATCAAAATCGTTGTAAAGATCAACAATTTCTTTTTTTTCAACTTTTGATGATTTTTTATTTATGAACCTTAACATTAGACTTCATTCGTTAATTTCGATTCCATAATTTCTAAGAATACATTCCACTCATTGGAGATTATTATCGAGTTCGATAAGAGTCTCAAAAAACAAAAAATAAAATTAATGGATTGCACTGATTAATATAAAATTGTATTTAAGATATTGGAATATCCGTTTAACAAATGCGTTACGTGTTTTACTCGCATTCAATAAGTAAAAACTAAAATGAAGACATTTTGATGAATTCATTCTGGCCTCTCGGCAGAACTTTAGTAATAGTCTTTTCTTCACTGTTTCACTGTTACAAATGTTTTGTATTCTAATTTGGTTCTCTCATTTGGGAAGATTCGAATAGGTTTGTAATATTGCGGTTCCAATTTTATATACAAAAAAATCTCGGAAATTTAAAAATAGATCGATAATAAATAAAATAAATCTTTACCCTATTAATTAATTTAATTAAAGGATGATGATTATCTTAGGATGAAATATGAGATCGAGATGGCATGGTATGTGTGCTAAATTAAAATTATTGTCCGTTCCGATGTATCATTTATTTTATTTTGATAATCTGGCAAATTTTCATTGATAATATTTGCAGTTTGAATTGAAATTTCTATTCATCGCTAATTTAAACCAATGAATTTTTTAAAATATTACTGAAACAAATCATTTTACTCCAAAATCACTGATGTATTTCGAATTGCGCTTTGAAAAGAATCTCGATTCAATGGTTTTTATTTTTGCTATAAATTGTAAATTCGCAAAATCAAAATTTTAGTCAATTTGTCACACAAATATTGAAATGGATATTGATATAAAGATTTTAAAATTCAAAAATAAATGATATCATTCATTTCGATATGAAATAAATGATATGATTTGTTTTTAAATTAAATGGAAATCGATGCATGGGATTATATCAGTTATGCTGTTTAATACTCTTTGAAATTCATTTGCACCACAATTTCAGCTACGCGGTATTTCTCCACTCATTTCTCGTGTTTTTAAATATGTGTAACCTTTTTTCTAATTATATTGGAACGGTTTGATATAATTTTTTGAGAATTCACAAAGAATCTCATCTTTGATGGAATTCCGAAATCACTTAATTAGTCAATTGCTAGTTCTTTAATCTTTCCTTCACTTATTATTTTTAAAAATTAGCAAATATCTGATGGAAGATTTTAACCACTAAAATTTACTTTTTAAATACCAGTGTAATGACTTATCGAAAATTTTGATTAAAATTAATTCTAAAGAGGAGAAAATGTTAATTGAAAAGATTCGGAATTAAAATAAGGGAGAGAGAGAAATAAAATGATGAAATTCAGGAGGTCTATTTTAGATCGTTGATTGTTTAAAAAACAAAAAGATATAATTCTAAAACTTGTTTGTTGCTTTTGAATTTTTTATTAAATTTTATTCATCCGCTTTTACTTTCATTCTTATTGATTGCGTTATTGTTTTACATATGATATTTGGATGTAATTGAAACAATAATAATTTCGACAATAAACGCTGATAATATGTGTATACCCACTTTCCCATTCATTAATTAGAATTAACAAAAATTAGTTTTTTTCGTTCAATGATTTTTCTGCTGCTGTGTAGAAAATTGATCTAAAATGTATTATTATAAAATAAACAATGAAAGTTACAACGAATTATTTTTCATATAATATATTGTTCCATAATTGATTCCGGATTCAATATCTGAGCATTGCTGGAATCCTGAAACGAAGTAACATGATAATTAAGTTTGATTTATATATTAATCAGGATAATTAAATTCGATTTGAGTATTGCAATTCTATATACCTGTAATGATGAACTAATTTTTTAAATTGAAATTATTAATGAGAATTGACAATGATTGCATGCAAATAATAATGTCACTGCATTGCACAGCTAAATTAACTTTACAAAAAAGTGATCATTTATCTTTTCAAAAAATATAAAAAATGATACCTCATGAATGGATGATAAATTCCGCGGTGAGTAATAATTACTCGTACCTTTGGATTGTTTCATGCCTGCTATGGAGCGTATTGAACTTTTTCGTCTACTATTTCGAAATGTTGAGCTATTATGTTCTGCTACAGGTACAGGTATGGGACAATTTCGTCTTTCACATCTTTGTGACATACCTGAATCAAAAGTTGGGCTTCCACTTCCTTTCGATATTATTGTTGAAGTGTATTCTGGTGGAATTGATTGACTGACATTGGACTGAAATAAACTGATGAACTTTAAAAAGTATATTTTAAATGTTAGGTTTGAGCTTCAATGCTACAATTCAAATGAACAATATTGAAGATATGCTCTAAAAAAATTGGTAAAGTAAACGGACGATTCTTGGAAATATATTTCATTCATTATTTCACATAAAATTTAATTTTTATTTTTGTGTAAAAATTTTAGTTTTATATATATATATATTTAGATATTTAGAGCAAACAAACGTGACTCGCTGTTGAGTAATAAGCTCTGTCAGTGGATAGAAATGGATGGTGATAATGATCGACTGCATTATCAGAATTTGCAATACCACAAATAAATTTCTGATGGAACATTCCAGTAGTTGGTATCAAGCCGCTTTTGCTATCGTCAAATCCGGCTCTTAGCTGTAGAAGTAATGAAACGCCGAAATAACTGAGCCATTTTCAATTATATATACTTTTGAATTTCAATTAATTGACTTTATTAAACATCTGTATTTTTTTAAGAAGTACTTATACCTGGTCAACAAGACATGCAGTGAATATAACCCAAGCTTGGCCAGCACCAGGTAAATCCCTAACAGCTTCTTGCGCTAACACTACATCAACAATAATTTCGCCAAGTTTCTCCCAGTAATTCCCGGTGAAACCATATGGTCGAAGTATGCCATGTGCTTTACCTGTAAATAAGATGATTTTAAAATTGCTAAAGAATTAATCAAATATAATGCAAAAGTATTTTCTTCTAATTGCTTTACAAATGTTTTAAATTAAACATTTATAAGTTGACTTTAAATCATTGTTTTTAATCTACATTACTGATTTACTACTTTGATAACAACTAAAATTTTAGCAGATTAGCAGACTAGCTTTTTCAATTTATTTTACGTAACTTTTATTTCCTCCAATAACTTTCGATAAAAAGTTTATAAACAATAATTGCATTTCGAATTAAATTAAGGTTACCGAGTAAGAAAGGATCGTAATCACTGCCTGTATCATTCCTTTCCTTATCGCTTACTTCCAAATTCTTAATCGCATAATCGATCAATTTCACTGTTTCCTAGAATTGCTTCTTTTTTCAAGCATTACTTTCATAAGGCAATAATTTTACAATTAATTGCTGACTGACTGTATCTGTCAGAAATAATAAACTTAATTTTGTATTATTTCATTTAAATTAAAGCGTACCTTCGCATGATCCCTTGGTGTGGCAGTTTCACTTCGTGACATTGCAGATAAAAAAGTTCGTGTTGTGAACATTTCCCAAATTCCAGGTAAGTGCTTTAGAAGGCGCTCGTAAACCTAAATTAAGCATTCATTCATTTCATTATTTAAAGATATACTTAAAGTTTAGTTAAAATTTGAATAAACTTAAATTTTTTTTTGGAAAAAAACGAGGAAGGAATAATATAGGAAGGAGAAAGGAGAAATAGATGAATGTGCATTTGAATATGAGATGAAATTGATAGAAATTTGCCAAACTTCTTAAATACTTCATCAGATATTGCAATTATGTTTGAAAGCAGTGAAATCATCATCAGTCAAGCATTAAAATTTTATAATTAATAATTTAAGAGTATTGATTTCAGTATGAACTTATTCGTTGCACCTGCAAATGAAATATGTACGTAATATTTTCGATGAATTATTTGACATTGTCTTATTACTTTTTGTTTGGTTTCCCTAAATTATAACTTACCCAAGATTATATGTAATCACTGTGATATGGATTCATTAAAAAATTGAATTAAAATGATTAGCAGTTATAAATGACCTCTTCGAAAACATTTGTCACCCGCTTTCCACCATTCCTGGTTTGCAAACGATGCCAGGTAAAGCGAAGGAGTCGTTTTTGGAGTCGATTCAATCTTGAGTTATAATCATAATGTTTTAAAACCGGTCCTATAATGTAAGATAAATACTGTAGAATAGATGAATAAATTGTTGAAACACATAAAAGCACCAATAAATAAAATTCCGACCTGAAAAAAAAAATCAGCTTTATCTTTCAAAAATTAAGATGATAATTTACTAATGATAGGATCGGATACACTTGGCATGCTGGATGATCGACGTAAATGAAGAGGCATTGTGAAATCGCTTAAATCGATGTCTAAATCCGTTTCGACTCCATCCGGTAATGAGGAATCTCTCTTCTGCTTGATAGTTTTCCTGCAAATGTATGCATGCAGGAATTTTAATCGATAACCTGCTTTTTTCTTACAGTTATTTATTTGTGTTACGCAATCCCAAATATGATATAACATCCGAACCGGATTCTCATATAACATTTTGACCCATAACATCCTAACGGATTATCTTATATAATGTCATAAAATGCAGCATGCACATACTACCTGTAATTTAATCAAATTTTTTGCTATTTCTGTTCTCCACTGCCTACAGCTGGAAAACGGAATGATAAATATCTTTGTAGTTCTGATGTGTAACAATAGAGCCAGCGGAACGAATACCACATTCATCTTTAAGGCATCCGATCATCTGAGGCAGAGATGATCTTTCTATTACACTGATAGTGTTAGAAATACCATTTTCAATAATGTTAATAAAATCTATTTATTTATTTTCTGTCTCAAATCTTTTGAGCATCTTAAAAACTCTTTTAGCAAAAAATCCGTTTTCAAGTGATAATTTTTCATTTGAAAGATTTTATCTATAACTCAGGCAAAGAAATTCATGCTTGCTTATTTAATTGTTTTGCGATTAAATTATTTACAATGAGATCTTTTGAAATAACATTGCAAGCTAAATGAATTTGAAATATCATCTAACTATTATTAATTGGATTTATCTTGCAGAGATGATAAATTTCTTAGCAAAAAACCTTAGATGTATCGCATTAGGCAGCAAGAAAGTGTATTTTAATAACAAAAATTATAAAAAAATCAAAATTTTTTTTCAAATATTAAAATCGACGAAAAGATTCGAATCTAAATTTTCAGCTCAGATTCATTAATGTGAGATCTATATAATGTCATTCAGTGGATCACAATTCATCTGCCAGTATTCAGAATTCTGAACATAAATTCAAAACTGATTTATACTACCTATTAGCAGTCGATTAGCTTTATTAATTAATTGAGTGCACAAAGTCAAAATTCGACTAAGAAGTTTTCGTTATTCATTATTGATTCAGTTTTATGAGATAAGAAATAAAAATTACATTTTGGTAGAAAATAAAATGCTCGAATTTGGCTGGGTCAAGCAAAATTACTTCTAGCTTGTCATAAAAGTAGCTTATCATAAAATTTTTCCTGAGAATGAAAGAACAATAGCACGAAAAAGAGCAAGGAAAGACAAAAGTGATGAAATGATAGAATTACAATTCAAATGATAATTTATATCCTTTGGATATATAAGGCTTAAAATGTCGCTTTGTTAGCATGAATTATTTCACCGAAAGAATCTGTCCATGTGTGACAATCCTAATTGAATTTTGGCTTCAATTCCACATGGGCGCTACCGCTTGCAACAGCTTTATTTTTCTCCTGTTAAGCAGGTTTCAGTTTTGTTTCCTATTCAATAAACATTAACCCCAACCTGACCCTTAGTTTTCAAGAGTATGCAACGCACGAAGCATCAAAACCATTGGATGAATCTTTCAAATGACGACTACTACCTATCCTTAATTAATTCGCAGTTAATTCCTAAACCTACCATAAAAATAAGATTGCATCTTAATAATACAGGTATGTTTTCTCACTAATATTTTCAATATTTTTCCAACATTCATAATAACTTTTAAGAAATATGGCAATTAGAAAATTGTTCTGTAAATGATGAGACGTATTTTTGTTCATCTCGAAACTGAATTTGTAATCTTGATTAATTACGCGACTATTCATATTAATCTGTTGAAATTGGAAGTTGAAACATGAAGAGAGTACCAAGTACATAAATAAATAGAATCTCATTCAATTTACTAATTAACTTAATCACGGTCTCTAAAATCAAACACAAAACTTTAATGTTTCGAGAAATTATGCATGAAGCATATAATAATGCGAGTAGTGCAAATAATAAAGTTTTGAGAAGTGAAGAATATTACTGCATCTAATTCATTTTGAAAAAATCGACTTTGTTAAAATTTTATTTATTGTATCCATTTCATGGGAAAAATGAATTTAATTTCACTTAAAAATTATGCATGGTACGAAAATTTTTTCTTTTATTTAATATTTTCAATAAAAAAAAAGGCTAGTTAAAAACTTTTTTTAAAGGAAAATATAAAAGAACAGTTGTTTGAAGACAATATTGCTATTTTTCTGTAAAATAATTTTTTCCGGAACAAGAAGTATTCAATTATATCATTTCAATCGAGCATTTTTAAGGTAAGCAACAAATAGTTTCTAAATTTTACAAATCAAAATTAATCGACACAGAAGAAACTGAGATTTTGTTCAGTGGAAGTTAAAAATGACACGAGAACTGAAACTGGTCAATTAGCTATTCCCAACAGCTTTGTATTCAGTAAAACTTACTATGCATTTACATAAAACTGAACTGATATGAGCATATCTGTCAAAAGTCTCGCTTCATCCGTTCTTGACAAGCTATCTGATAAAGTGAAATGGACTTTTTTCGTGACTTATTTAATGAAATTAAAGCGAACAACAATTTTCAAACGTTCAATTTTACAGATTGCTGAAGTACTAACCAATAAAAAAATTAGCACTAATAAGACAAAAGTGACAGAGACAATTTCAATTTTATCGTTCGATCTTTTCCAATATGTTCTGCAGCGTAAATAAATGAGAAATACTTTCTTTCTTTGTTCCTAATCAATGGTTCAATGTTTGCCGCATTTGCGAATTTTATTTTCAGCATTCATCTCACTTTTCATGCCAGCACAGTTCGAGATATGAGTACTTTCGATTTTATTGTAGGATTAGATAATCTGACACCGAACAAGAGGTACACAAAATTTCCATCCAAGACATTTAAATGTCTAACTTTTGATACGAGATAAAAGTTTAATATGAGTTTTACCAGTTTCTGCCATCAAATATATTTGAAATTAAGAACAAATTAAAATTAAGAGCAAACACAAAGTGTTAAACTTTTCTTTTCATGAAGTTCTTTTTCTTTAATATACTTCTTAAATTAATTTCGATTTCCGTAGTAATAAAACTGTTCTAATTTTCTGGAGCAAAATTATGACAAATTTAAATAGACATCATTAGGATAAAGACAGATTCAAATGGATGTATAAATTTTGCTTCAAATTTTATTTGAACGAATGACAGACAAGTACTTCGTTTGATTTGTCTGCTAATTAATTTAATTTAACAATTGACTACTTAATATACTTTGGAATGTTGTAATGATGAAACTTTGAATGAAAATGAATTACTTATCTATCATTCTTATTTATTTAAAATAAACGGAAATAATACTTATCAATGATGAATGAAATCAAAAAATATGAAATGGAAATGAGATTTGTAAAATGGTAGCGCAATTATTGCATCGAAACAATAATATCTATACTTAAGAAATATTATATAGATTTATCTTATTTTTTCTTAATAACATACTAATTAGACCATCTTTATTCTGAATTATACTTTTAAGCCATACAATTCGTAATTATTCAATTACACACTTCTCTGTTTGATTTCTGACAATTACAGCAATTTATTAAAGCTTGCATAATTGTTATACAGATAGGAATTAAGATAATATTGTAAGAATCAATTGATGATTGCCATTAATTATGAATGTTTTGCATTTTCTAGTGATTTAAATTTAATGATCTGAACTCTCTGATAATTGAAAAATCAAAAAAGAATTTCCACGTCTCAAAAAAGAAGCTAATTTTAGGCTACTAATAAAAAATGTATTTATAATACTGAAGACTTTTCAGATGCTAAATGGAGTGGTAAAAAAGAAAAGTAAAATAACAATGAAATGATTAGATTCAAGCAAATGATTGAAATAAAATTGGAAATGTAACTGAAGGATAACTAAAATGGAAATAAAATTGCTTTAATAAATTAGCACTGCTACCAACCGTCATATTATCACTTAATCGATAGAGAGTGTTTTTATCGTATGATTTTTTTTATGCTGAAGCAAACAAATGACAGCTTTTATAGAATTTAACAAATTCTCGGCACTATCAGAAAAAAACAAAGATGATAGATAGTATTATCGTGCATCCAAAACTTTTCATCATCCAAAATTTGACAAATGTTAGGAGAACATTCAACTATTTAGGAAGGATGATAGATTAGATTATTGTTAATAATTCTTGTTGATTCATGAAAATAAGTAATTCATCATTTAATGCTTCGTGAAGTATTTACTGGTTAGTAAAATTTGGAAATTTCATTATCCTTAAAAGATTAATAAGTAATGAGTGAAATGTGAAATATGAAAATGAAAATGAGACCTGCGAAATAATGGCGTAGCTGTTGCATATGTTGTATTTGCATTAGATGGTCCTGCTCCAGACTGAAAAACGTTGACCTGATTTGAAATTTATTTTACTACAAATTTTCAATTACAAAATTTTGATTAAAATTTTATGCTTTAGCATGATGTTAACTGTATATGTTTAGCGTTTTGTTCCTTTTTGCAATTGAAAATTTTTAATAAATAAATTTCAAAGCATAAAAGCAAAAGCTTACTTTTTTAACTTTAGAATATTGCAATAATATTATATTTAATTCGGAAATGATAATTTACAAACCTGTGACATTTCACCTATTGATTTTTCAGCCCGAGTTGCTTGTGCATTTTGCCGACCGACTGTCGTTGAGGATTCTGTTACACTCGCCTCCTGTGCCGTTTTTTTTTCACTCTCATTTTCAAGTTCATGCAACAATCGCCTACCACGTACTATTTTTGATATTAAAAACATATCTGAAATAATGATTGCTTTAATATCATAATTTTGAAAAACTTACGAATATCATTATCAAATGATGAGCAAAGTTTTACGCACAATTACAATAAAAATAGAATAAAGACAACAACAAATATACCAATCAAATTAAATAAGATTGTTATTAAAGTAATAATAAGTATGAATTGTGAAATAAAATTACTAAATGTATCATTTAATCAAAGCTAAAATGAGCATCAAATTTTTATAATCAACTGTTTGAACGATGTTTGTACAAAAGCGTAGAAAGAATAACTGGCGCTCATTATTTGGCGCTCATTGTCCTCTTATCAGAGTATTTTCATTTTTGCGTATTTTGAATTCTGTCTTTCTCTAAAAAAATTCTTCCTTTATCTTTCAAAATTTTGTCTTATTTTCACGAAAAAAGAAAAAGAAAATCTTTATAATCAACTGTTTGAATATGATCACACATGATTTTTGTTTTTTTTTTTTCAAATATTTAACGTAAATCATTTATTAGTGTTTAACGGTCAGGTGAACTCTCATCATAAAAGAATTCATAAAATGTAAGCATAGGTAACTTTGAGTAACTATGGTTTTTGCGAAATTTTGTATGTAGCTATTTCTCTAACTCATATATATGCATGACTTCTAACTGTTGCAAAGTTATCATGGAAAATTTTACAATTTTAATTTTGCAGCATAGAAAACTCTGCTTCAATGGTAATTACGGAGATTGTTTGATGTCTTTTCGAATTCATCATATCATCTTATTCACTATTATCTTTTAAAGGTAATTTTTTGAAGTTATTATTTTTTTAATTCCAAAAATCGTTAAGATAACAACTGGTAGGAAGAAAGATTTCCAAGGGATTATTCAGATTCCTGATTTCACCTCTATTTCTGTATACTGCAGTGATTGTTGCTTTGTTCTAAAAATTGTTGAGAAAACGACTGAGAAGAGGAATGAAGGAATTGTAAGAGATGGAATTTGTCTATTGCTGTTGTAAACATCTTGTAATTCATTACTCAAAAATTAGACACTGTTAATAGAAAGTTACGAATAATGATAATTTGAAAATAAACTGAAGATAATTGTCAAATTATAGACAATGTTTTATGTTGCATACGAATTTTAATCAATATTCTATGCTAAAACATATGGTACTTAGATTGTTGAAAACAAGAGTAAAAAACAGTTCATCAATAAAATTTTTTTTCAGACAAAATCTCCAACTTGTCCGATGTTCGACAATAATTTTAAACTATAATTTTGAGCCAGAAAAATTGCTATATTATCGAACATTTCAATAATAACAAAATAAATATCGAATGGAAAAAAATACTTATCGAGAAGTATTATTTCATGAAATATTTCATGAAAAAAAGTATTTCATGAAAAAAAGTTTGAAGAGAAAAAGGCACCGATTGTGTAATGCTGAATATTCTACTACAAAAATAAAACATGAATTTAAAAAGGCACCTGTTGGGTATAATTTTGAATAGAAAAAGCACCTGCTGAATATCCTACTGCAAAAATAAGACTTAAATAGAAGAAGGACATCTGCTGGTTAATGCTCAATATCCGATTGAAAAAAAAAAAACAGAATCTGAATAGACAAAAAGAAGACTGCATTGCTTGATTTATTCCTTCACAAATAAATGAAAGTATTAAATTTTTATTGTTTAAATAAAAACTGCTAATTTAATATGCAACATTATGCATAAACTTATTATTAGACAAGAACTGAACGAGAAGAAAAAAAGGAGAAAGAATACAAAGCAACAAAATTTCCCTTTCCAATCTTCTAAAACTTACATTTTTGCTCAGTTTCATAGTTATAAGAATAAGATGTTTCAAGTATATTGGATTGAAATACAGTACATATTTATAATGATAGAGTGGAAAATGAAAACTCATTAACTACTGTCCAGAAAATATCATATTTAATTTAATTACTAAAACAAATATCATATTTAATTTAATTACTTAATTTAAATGGCTGAAAGCTGAGAAAAAATATGATGAATTAAAAAAGAGGGCTCGCAAATTAACTAATCAGAATTGTACATTTAATCAATATTAAATTAATCAAACTATATATCCCATTTTTTAAAAGCAACTTGATCAAAGACAACTGTTTGATGAACTTAATTTTAGTCAAATGAAAATTCAGAAATTTTTAAGTTTAATTCACACAAAAGTTAACAATTTAAATTTTATTAGTTAAACAAACAGCATTGACTGGAAACATATATATGGAAATTGTTTATGTATGTAATTAAATCAAATACATGCAGTATTTTTGATTTTTAATCGAATTTATGATAACATTTACATGATTTTAGATTTGAAAATTACTCTTTCAAAGGTTTCAATTAAAGTGAAGAAGTTCAATGTATCCGTCATTACATTTATAATTTTATTTCATAAAATTTCTACTTTAATTTGTTTTTTTTTTTTGTTGAAATAAAATTTCAGATCTTTATTATGGCCATGAGATTCGTCTATTAACGAAAAATCGATAGTTAACACGCAACAAACATTTGGACAGTGAATTTTAAATTATTATAACCACACTTGAACACATCTTTGTTAATCAAACTAAGAAAAATGATATTGATGACAATGAAAAAAAAATTTTTCATTTCTAAAGTATAGAAACTCCATTTCTCTAAAATTATTTCTTATTTTCTGCTGAATTGTGGAAGTCTTTTGCTGATGAAATAATAATCGATTGATTAACGATCAGAGGAGTATGGATAATGAATTCGTAATTTCGTAGCAAAATTCTTGTTAACTTCTGAAGCGTTTCTTCCTGATGTTCAGATGTCATCATAGAAAAAATTGAATTTTTCCATTTTTTTAGATGGCTGAAAACATTTTAATTTTTGATTTATTTTATTGATTCCTTCAGCATACTTGAAATAGTTTCATCGAGATTCAAAAAATATTATTGTCAACAGATCATCAAAAATAACCGTCCATATAAATCGATTTTTGAAACTTTCTTTATTTAGCAACTTCGGAAATTGTCAATCGTCGTCACACACAAGTCATTTTTCTTTATGTATCATTAATTTCATCGAGTTTTGTTATTGTTGTGCAGAGGAAAAGGGGACAGTAAATTCAAAATAATGTTTTTTTCTGCTCATTAGCCAGCTTATAAAGCAACTCAAATTTATCGACTCTTTCCACTTTCTCAATTTTGCTTGAAATGCCTGAAAAATGGGAAGAAAAACATTGAGTTTTGCAGCAATTTCAATAATTGCTCTCAACCGATTACTGTTAGATAGCCGCCGGTCAATCATTCTCGAAACTCTGATCTCTTTCACAAAACATTTTGAATTGCAACTGCAGCGATCTTCATAAATATTCTTTTGGATCAAATAACCCAATTAGTATTATAATTTATCATTACCACTGTTTTCTTTATAATCTCTTTCCAACTTAATTCTAAAAAAAAATCACTCAAAATTTTTTCTTATCTAAAATATCATTTCGTTTAATTAAAAACGAATATAAAAAGTAAAAAGCACTTAATAAATCATTAGCAGAAAATATAAACTATGAAAATGAATATTGTAACTTTGGCTATTTATTTATGAGAGTTCATTATTGGATTAGTGGGAAGAAAGATAATTGCACCCTTTGCATTGTTGAAATTTGCTTTTTGTATTAGAAAATAAAATTGATATAAATAAATGGCTTATATATCATACATCACTTCATTTTCGTTTTTATTCTATCTAATAATAACTTATTACCTATTGCTTTTCATTCTCAACTAAAAAATGGCATTCGAAGAAAAGAAAATTAGAGTGAATTTCAAATCAATAAATGAGAAATGGCATGAGAAAAATTAGAAATTCTGTCATTCAAAAAGTATATACTTTTTCCCATAGTATTTTCTGGCATTTTTGTGATCAATGAAATTTATAGCCAGTTTTAAATTAAACAAAATTATTGAACAACCAAAGAATTACTGTAACTGATACTCTCTATACACAGGTCTAAATTTAAGTGTTCATAAAAAACATATTTTTCCTTTCTTATTTCTTTGTAACTTAGATTGACACATTTAAAAAATTCGAAAATTGGTGTAAAAATAGATCAGAAAGTTGCTAAATACTACAATAATTCATTTTTATATTCAAAATAGGAAAAAAATACTAACAAAATTAGATAAATATAAATAAGTATTCTGCTTTGGGAAAACTTTATCAAGGTTCACTAATTTCGTATTAATAGAAAAATGTTTCAAAAACTTTATATGTAAAGCCTTATGTAATAGTAAATTGTAACATTTGCTGGAATATTTTATTTTAATTGTAAATACTTATCAATTCTTTCATTTTGAAAAAAATTATAGGAGGGCTTTCGATAAAATTGATAAAAAGAAAGAACTTGTTCAAAACAAACGACAATGCATGGTGCTGTCAGATTTTCTCTTTTTTATTGCATTTTTTTTTCTTTTTTTTTTTCAAGTATAAAAAACACTTATCAATTCTTGGAACGAAAATAAATGCATGAAAGCTTATTTTAATGAATTTTGTTTTCAAAATGCAAGAATTTTAATTGCGCGAACATGAAAATTTTAAAGGTTTTTATGCTCTATCTTTCGGGCATTAAATTATCGATAGTTTTCACAAGGAGTACAAATTCCTATTTTCTGGATTAAATTTAGCCTCAAAATTATATAATTCCGTTGAAAAGCACTTTGTCGTATTTGCGAAAAAAAATGAATGTAGTTGTTTAGGGATAGTTTTTATAAATTGACGACTGATGATTGATGGTTTCTTTCCTAAACGCTGCATAAGTTTTTAACAAAATTTTGAATAATGTATGGAAAACATGGAAATAAACGATTGCATGTTTTCAAGCGAATCATTAACTTCCGATATCGATATATTTTTTTTTTGAAAAATTTTAAATTCTAATAGAAAATTTAAGTGTAATAATGTCAACAAATTTGAATGGAAATGTAGTAAAGGGAATTATTTTTATGATAATG